TGTTTCAAACAGGAGAGAAATTTTCTATTTTCTGAATGCCTAAATGTAGATATTACACTCACAGAATCACAGAATGATTGAGGTTGCATGGGACCTCGAGTGATCATCTAGTCCAACCCTCCTGCTCAAGCAGGGACACCTAGAGCACATTGCACAGGGTTGCATCCAGGTAGGTTTTGAAGATCTCCAAAGGAGACTCCACAGCCTCTCTGTGCAGCCTGTTCCAGTGCTCTGTCACCCTCACGGTAAAGAAGTTCTTCCTCATATGGAGGTGAAACTTCATGTGTTTCTGTTTGTTACGCCTTGTTCTGTCACTGGCCATCAGCAGGAAGAGTTTGGCCCCATCCTCTTTACATTCTCCCCTCAGGTATATATATATTTTGATCAGATCTCCTCTCAATCTTCTCAAGGCTAAACAGGTCCAGCTCATTTGGTCTTTCCTCCTAAGATAGGTGTTTGAATCCCTTGATCATCTTAATCACTCTAATGTTAGACACTAACAATAATATTCAGACTATATATATATATAGCTTCCTAACCTAATGTAGTTAATAGCCACTGAAGTACCAAGTTACAGGATTTGACTTCCAAAGCTGTTGGACAGCTCCAGCATTATGTTTGCAATTTGCTGTTGTTTCATAGTAAGTCTTCCAGTGCTTTAGAGGAAAGAGATGTTGGTGTGAAAGAGAACAGTTATTCTGGCCATAGCAGGGAATTAGAGCTGCTCTTAAAATATTGAGAAAAAGATCTCCATGCAGCCTAAGCATCTGTAAATCACAAAGCCATAAGTCCATGACAGCAAGCATTCCTTGATGCTGTTGGTAGAAAACAGATTACATGAACATCTGAGCCTGCTTATTGCACAAGTAAGTTTCTAGCCCTTTGATGTTTGGAGAGCCTACCCAAACACTGATTAAAGTTGAAAATGTACAGTCAACAGAACAATAAGTTTCTGAACAGAGTAGCAACCTATTTTTAAAATGGAGCTTGATATAATAGGGACTACATAATGCCATTATCTATAAAACAAGAAAAAATAAGTCATTTACCAATTAATCTATTATCTTATATGCCAGTTAGCTCCAAAATTACTAAATTTTAAGCAAAATCTGATATTCAGCAAGAATTACATGAATTGAACAATAAAAAAAAAATCCCACAGAGCAAAATGCTTAGCAGTTTTTATAAATGAGGACAAATGCTTAAATACCTAAAAAGACTTCACAAACTTTTTTCTTTTTATGAATGAACCATCTGTCTTTCTTCTTTAAAAGTGAAGGCCTTAGACCAAATCGCTTGTGAAAGTCATTGATAAAGCATGACAGTAAATCACATAAACCACCGAACAGATCATAGAATCATAGAATCATAGAATGCCGAAGGTTGGAAGGGACCTCAGAGGTCATCGAGTCCAACCCCCCTGCTCACGCAGGGTCACCTAGAGCACGTGGCACAGGGCTGCATCCAAGC